TTAATATTTCAATTAATTCCACATTATTTTATTAGTAAAATGTATTCAATTTTTATTCAAAGCAATTGTTTATAAAGGAAAATTAACATTAGTAATATCAACCATAAGAGTGGTGTATGATTGGTCTGGGCTCCAAAATTCAAAAGTGTCTGGAGGTCTCAGGTTCAAATCTAATGAGAAATAAAAATCTATTTGTGGCCATGGAGGTTCAACTTCGATGACTCTGGGCTACCCGTAAAGCAGATGGTCTTTCTGGGATTAATCAGTTCACGTAGCAGGTTGGATATCCAGGTTAATAAAAAAAACATCAGTAATATGATATCTCCGTCTAGGTTGGATTATCCGGGTACTTAAATGCTTAAAACTTTATATCTTAGGTATTAAAATGGAAGTTCTAAAAGTACGTTACTCAAAATAAGAATCAAGTAAAAGTACGTTATTTTTTCATGCAATTTGCCTATTATTTAATATGTTTATTCGTCAAAAAAAAAAACAAATATAACAATTTTAAAAATGTTTTTGTAAAGTACATAAAAATTAAAAATTATTTATTTTGTTATTATAAATAATAAAACTTCGATAAACGTCTTATTAAAATATTTATCTTATTATATGTAATGATTATTTAAAATCATTATTTAATGTAGATATTTTTTAAAATTGGTTATACAACTTCAAAACTTATAATGTTATATATGTAATAAATAAATCTGAAATTTTATTAATTAATATATTCTATTTTTAAATTTTATTTACTATATGGTTTGTATTAATTAATATATAATATTATCAGTGATTTGTTTAAATACATTATGAATGTTAAAATTACTAATTGTTTAACATGTCTTTTTTGGTCATTTTACAATTTTCAACTAATTTATTAGCTAGTTTTTGTCAAACTTAACTAGTTAATAAGCTAACTTATTAGCTATCAACTAGTTTATCAGTTAGTTTGTCAAACGTAGCCATAATTTATTATTTTGCTACTGATATATTTCTTAATCCTTTATATTTACCAAAATTTTACAATTTATGTTTTTTTTTCTTATTGTTAATTTTAGGACAAATTGCATGAAAAAGTAACATAGTTTGTCTTGACTCCTGTTTTGGGAAATGTACTTGTAAAACACTCGTTTTAGTACCTAAGATGTGAATTATCAAACATTTAAGTACTTAAATAACTGGTTTAAGAATTAATCGATTACCAATGCTGATGTAACATCCAACTCAATATTATTTAGATAGTAACATGAATTTTTTTTTAAATCTAAAAAGTTGTAAATTTATATATTTTATTAGAATTTATATATTATAATTATTTATGTGAAATATATAATTTACGAATAGTTATAATACATAAATTCTAATAAAATAAATAAATTTGAAACTAATTTTAAATTTAAAAAATTCATTTCGCCATGTTAGCAAATAATATTGAATTGAATATGACATCATTCATCATATCAGCATTGTTAACCAGCCAATGCTTAAACCGGTTACTTAGGTATTTAAATGTTTAAAACTTTACATCTTAGATAGCAAAACAAAAGTTTTAAAAGTACATTACCCAAAATAGAATCAAAATAAAGTATCTTACTTTTTCATACAATTTGTTCTTAATTTTAATATTAATGAGACAAAAGTGATGACAAATGAATTAATTTTTTTTAATTATATTTAAGGAAAATCCAAATATTGACGATGGAAATGGAAAACGATTGTACCACGTTGTTCAAGCCATTTATGCAAATTTTGGATTCTATTCGGCAATATGCTTAATTGTTAGGTGGCTTAATTTCATTAAGACAAATTTAACGAAAAGGCAGTTAATTTGTAAGAAATGTGAGATAGGTTAAATCATATGAGATTTCTAGAGTAAAATCAAATACGATACAAACACATAGCGTACTAGCGTTGACGGGTCATTATGCAGACCAGTTTTCACGGGACCTTGGTTGGGTTGACCAAGTCGTCTGCGTCCTTTTGGACGTACTGCGTTACAGTGATTTTACTATAAAATCACATGTGATTTGACCTTTCTTGCACTTCAGGTGTAACCCTCCTTCTAGTTTGATAAACATGTTAATAAACATTCATCGTGTATAACACAGTTATTTTTTTAAGTATATAATATTTATATACAACAAATTAAACCCATACGCTCTCTTCGTTTTTTACGAGACTTGAATCCTTTGACCTTTAAAAATGTTGGGTTATTAGGTACCGCTAGACCAAATACTATTTATAAAAAGAGTTGTTTTGAGGTGATTTAAGGGTTGTTTGACAGTTGCTGAATGGTTTGGTGCAGAATGATTATATAATTGTTTGGTAATTGTTTACAATGAAATCAGTGCGCTTGATGGTTAAGGGAGGCTTAGGATACAAAATCATTCAGATGGTTTTAGAACCATTAAGAGGCGGACTTTTTTTTTGCCAAACAAGATTCACCTCTTAATAATTCAGATGTTGTCTCTTAATGAAACGATTAAGAGGTAAACAAACAACCCCTTAGTTGCACAAATAAGTGAAGGTGTGAGTATAACATATGCAGTATTGGAGTTCCAGTTTTGATGTGGATTGGGGTCCTTGTGGGAACCGGCTATTTACTGCAGCCACCTTACCAAACCTTTGTGTACCTGATTTATCCCTTACATTATGCTATCATGAAGGGGTGGTGTGGTGTGATGCAGTTTAGGGGTTGCCGGTTACAAAATCTTTTGCACAAACATGTTACCAGACGTAATTTGTCTTGCTGCCATCATTCTAATTTCTTCTGATTAAACGAAGACCAGGACTAAAGTTTCAGAACTTAATTTCGCAGCTTTTTTCAACACGTATGTTTATGTCCAAATCTCGTTGGTGTTATCGTATCTTTTTGTGGGCCATGTTAATTTTCTATCAGAATGTGTTTGGCTTAGACGAATAATTTGGACCCTTTTCTTCATAGTGTTTTTAGAGCTCGTTTTTTATACATAGGTTTAGGAATATTCTTTTACAAGTTATCATATCCTCTATTTTCAGTACAAATTCTTGTAGAGTTTTTGGAACTTTCTGTTCGGAATATATACATGTGCTACTCATGACAAACCATCAGTCACTTTGTAACGTAAAAACAAACTGCAAATGTAACTTTCAGATGTATGATGACAAAAGCAAGCTCCAATATTCAGTAATCTAACAAATAATATACTGATAGAAATTCTCGCTATTTCATATACGTGAACAATAATTTCGTTTTTTATTCATTTATTCATTGTCTGTATTGAGCTCACTTTGAAAACTATTTTTGCATATTTTTGTCGTAGTTTTTATAATTTCAGATCTTTCCCATATTGAGGTCGAAGGAAATTGACAAAAACCCGTCTCGTTGCCATTTACGTATCTAGAAATAAAAGGCGTAACTTCGGAAATGTGTATGACTTGGTTAGTGATGTTAGGCCAGAGTCTGTATGAATTTGGACTCTGTATTCGTGTTTTAGTCCAACACCGGTTTATAAGTATCTAAATTTGCCTAGATCGACTAAGAAAACTTTTGATTAAAGCAGGCAACAAAACAAGAATTATTGTCTTGTAATGTTTTAATTTGTCTTCTAATGACAACAATTTAGTGAAAAGTTATTTACTAAAAGGGCATATTGAATGAAAAAGTAATGTACTTTAACTTAATTCCTATTTTGAGTAACGTACTTTTAAAACTTCTATTTTGGTACCTAAGATGTAAAGTTTTAAACATTTAAGTACTCGGGTAATAGGTTGAAGCATTAACCGGTTATCATGCTGATATAGCGAGTGATGTTTTAAACATTTTTTATGACATATTTTAAAACATTATTACAAACAAATCATATTAAAACATGTGAAATACCGACTACCTCATGTGATTTCTAAATCCCATGTTTGTGGGATTTTATAAAATTCCCGGAATTTCAGTTCCAAACTTTTTTTAAAAGCAAATGCGGGATTGAAATAGAATCAAATCCTAAATCCATCAGATCCTACTAAGAACATGTTTGTTGGTAGCTTAATGAGCTTAAAGTAGCTTATTCGGCCAACTATACATAGGTAGTGGCTTAATGATATAAAAAATGACTTATTATGTAAGCTTTTAAGTTGAAGCTTTATGTAGAAAACCAAGTCTTTGCCAAACTTGTCTCTCTCAATCAAAAAACATGGTTCTTTTATTTATGAAAAAATCATCTTAAACAAAAATCTTTCTCAATCTATAGGGTTGTTTGTTTATCTCTTAATAGTTCCATTAAGAGGCAATCTTTGAATCGTTAAGAGGTGAATCTTGTTTGGCAAAAAAAAAATTATGACTCTGAATGATTCTAAAACCCTCTGAATGATTTTGTATCATGGATCTTCTTTAACCATTAAGAGCCCTAATTTCATTGTACACAATTACCAAACAATTATATTTTATTTTACATTATATCATGAGAGTTTCTTAATCATGTTAACCACTTAATCATTCTGTATCAAATCATTCAGCAATTGCCAAACAGCCCATTTCACACATACAACTTTTATCCATTCACTAAATAGAAAACCAACCAATCGTTCAATAAATCCAAGTCCAACAAATCAAAAGGGCCAGACTTGATGTAGATATTTTTAAATGGGCCTTAGGCCCAACTAATAGACCGTAAGCAAATTTTGCTTTGACGATGCACTTGCTGAGTTGCTGGTTGAGTTGAGCTGCTGATGCCAAACGGTCCGGCGTGAGGCGGAGGGAGGAGCAAATTTCTAAGTCTGACGATTGGAGGCCGTTCTTCTCACGACGGGGGTATGTGGCGGAGCACCGTATTTCCGGTAAGTTATGTTCAAATGTTGACTTATTTTTTAGATAATCGTTTACAATCATCCGAAGTAACGTGACATTTGATGTATTTTAATGATTAATCGCAATATAAGTAGGATGAATTAGAGGTAAGAGACTAGCAATTTTTATGTTCCAAATCAAGTTGTAATTGATTCAAAGGAAGTTTGGAATTTTGTTGAATTTTTACTTATTAGTGATTAGTTGTTGTTGATGTCAGGAAAATGAAAATTCTGATCAGAGTATATCAGGTAATGTAGTTTGAGATGCAATTGGTCGATTTCAGCTTTATGGTGAGCTTTGATTCCGTTGATAGAAACAAATGCAAAGTTGAGATCGGGTTTATTTTTTGCTTATAGAGGATGATGATTTGAATGAAGATTCGCCAGAAGATCATGTATCATTGGGCGTTCCAGCTGCAAAAAAGGTTAATATTCTGCACTATGTGAGAATAGATGTGAATTTTGTAGGTTTAACTGATTAGGAAGTTATAGAAAAGAAGAAACAAAAAGAAAAACAAAAAGAAGAAAGGCGCTCATTTCTCGAAGAACTACTAATTAAGCATTTTACAATTTGAAAAGAAGAAAAAAAGATGCTCTTTTTTCCAGCATGAAGATGTGTACTGGTGCGAGTACAATAAATCTAGTATGTTTTGTCTAATAGTACTTGGCACGTGTAACTTAAGTTCCCAAACTTATCAACTCTATCGGGTTTAGTTGGAAAAGTGTAGGTTTTGTGGTAAATCAGTGTGTAGATAAGAATTTCTAGGATTGTAACCCATTTAAATTATAAATGTAATTTGAATCAAACAATGAAATTGGAAGCGGAGGCTCGAATTTTCTTTCCAAGCCATGGAATTGACGGAGCCTTGCCCCCGTCTATTGCCTCAGCAGTAGGATGGTAGGAATCCGGAAAGGAGGCCCCGGGTTCAACCCAGGCACTACCACCTGCTATTGACTCCAGGTGATGTACCTCCCCATGATGATCATGGGATAGTGTGGTGGGGACAATCCATAGGGTGGCATAGTCAAATAGACCATGAATGACTTTGTAATCCAACTATCTAAGTTTCAGATTTGATTTGTGCTGGTAGTTGTGATGGGAAATTGGAGAAAGATATTGGTTCTTATGGGTTTCTACAAAAATTATGCATCAAAAAGCAGGATGATTCACAGTGAGCTAGTTGAACAAATGATTATGCTCTCTCTCCCTCTATATGTGTGTGTGAGAGAGAGTATCAGATGATGCCTCAGTGTGCAAGCTTTGAGCCATATCTGTGTTACGAGTGAGTGTGTGGGTGGACAGGTACAAGATGAGGAACCTCTTGAATATTGAACGCCTTTCACATGCACAATAAGAGAGAAACACAGGGGAATGATGGAGCTTACCTACTTCTATTAGGTTTCAGATTAGTAGGCATATCTAACACTGCCTATGCTAGAAATAGAAGGATCTGTGTGAAATTTGATTTCTATATATAACCGCCTGCCGTCACAATGTGTTGAATACTTGTAGATCATTTTGTTGTGTGAACTCATTATATGTACAATTGGGCAGGGTGAAGTACAAATTCTTTCTCAACTTGATATGCTCAAAGGTACAATTTCTTTGATCATTTTTTCAGTTGGAAATTGTTCACTAAATGTGTTTTTAAAACTATGGTGTTATCAGGTGCAGATGTTGATGAAGTCATGCATCAAAGAGATCAAACTAGTTTACTTCAAAAGGTAGGTTGTGATTGAAACCAATTCACGCTTACAAATTTGGTATGCTGCCAACAAACTTATGCCCATAACAATGCATCATCACTTTTTAGTGCTGTTATAGAAGTTAACGGCTTCAGCTTCAAACAAAAACTTAATATACAATTTAGTTCACTGAAGGGGCAGGTTGAAGGAAAAGAAAGTCCTATGGACTAATATAGAACATTATTGTGTTTTCTTGAAATGGGACAGTATATTAATATCTTTTGCAACTCATTTGATGGCACAGCTATGACCTTTTATTCAATCCGGTTGAATACCACATGATATTAGGGGCTGTTTGGTTGGTTTTCCATTAAGTCCTGTATGGATAAAGCTGTTTGTGATTGAAAAGGTTTTTACTTGGGAGGGTTTCTTTCATAGATGGAAGGAGCGTCTTTTTTTAATTGGGATGAGCATATTTGGAAAAAACTTGGATTTCTGCATAAAGCTCCCCTCTAGAAGCTTACTTAACAAGCCACTTTCCATATCATTAAGCCACTACCAAACAATCATGTATAGCTGACTGAATAAGCCGTGAGTTCCATTAAGCTCATTAAGCTGCTTACAAACATGCCCTTACTCACTTCGGAAACTTTTTTTGTCTCACCTTGCTGTTATCAGAGGCAAGCAGATATCGGTGTTGAAGATGATGTCGAATTCCCATTTTTTGCCAACAAGTGTGAATTCACCTACACCCCACAAAACGCTTCTGCGTGCAACTCAGATGAAGAAATTCTCTCTGATAATGAGGTGCATACTAGGCAAAACAGTGATGCAATACTTCAAAGCTAAGCTACCCTTCCCATTTATGCCTGAATTTGAAGTGTTCACTATGCTATTTTAAGGTGAGAGGAAACTGCATGCAATCAAGTAAAGGGTTTACTTCTGAGGCTGATAACTATCAGAAAATAGGACCTTCTAGTTTCGGAGTAATTAGAAAAGATGGAGTTTGCACTTGGCTTGCAGCAGATGCAATAGGTAATGTGAACAATAATGTTGATTCTACTTCGTATCGTCCTGTGTCTGCCAGAGCCAAGAGGTTATGTAAAGGTAAAAGGAAAACTCTTCTGTTCTTTTTTCTGCTTGGAGCTAGTTTATTACAATCTGAAGATAATTTGTATCTCACTGATAGTGGTTTTCTACAATTGCTTTTTGATGCTTAATCATCTGCTGCCAGGTGGTGAAGGCAAAGCCAAACGCAAGTTTTCTTTTCGGACACATTCACATAATGACCTCCTCTTGAAAGAGGTTAGCCATGCGTATGAAAGCCGCACATCAATTGGGCTGAGTTTGGTACAAATGGATAGGACAAAACAGAATAGGGATCATTGTTCCATGTTTAGCAGGATTTTTATGTGGACAAGTGTGGAACAAGCTTGTTCCACCCCCACCCATGGAACAAGGTGGAACAGACCTATATTTTATCAATATAAACTCAAAATAAAACCTAATTTTCTTCTAAAACATCAAATATGCCTCCCTCTTTACATTTTATTCATTATTTAAATTTTATTTATTGTATCTTATGCTCTTTAAACATTCACTTTACTGATCTCAAAATATTATTTTTATATGGTTTCTATATTTTAGTTAATTTATTAAATATTAATGATAATAATAATAAAATAATAATATAGAAAAGGTATAAAATAAAAATTGGAAACTACATAAACCTTTTATTTTGGTGTTATTTAATTGTCTTGACGAAAACTTTATAATGGTATATTTTGTTATAAAAATATTTATTTTATCATAATTTAATAAATTACATAAGTTAATCAAAATATATAAATGATATAAACAACTCATTAGGGGTAAATTGGTCATTTTATTTGTTCTGTCATGTCTAGTTATGTCTTACCAAACGTTGAGCAACTGTTTTGTCCTGTCTTGCCTATCTGGATACCAAACGCACCCTTAAAGTTGGTCCATCATGTGATGTAACCGAATCCAATCATACAATACTTATCCCAAATTCCTTAAGTTTTTCAGGGAAAAGAGATGGATGAGTTGAAGAATAAGTCAGCTGAAAAGCCAGTCTCACACACTCATACAACGACTTCAATGGCTGAGCTCCTCATCCGCATTCAGGATGAACATGATCTGCCAGAAGGAAGTACTATGAAGGTAGCTCTTGCAGTATATATTATCCCTTTGCTCATTAGCTTCACATGTCACACTCGGGCGTGATATTTTATCTGCTCCAGTACAGTAAAACAAAAGGCACTTCCGAACAACTTTCCGTCAAGAGAAGTATATTGTCAATGCATCATGGAGACATAGATGATGATCCCGACTGTTTGGGCAGTGATTCATCAGACGAAGACAAGGTATGCAATTGAACAGGTGCTTCATTAGATTGCATCTGGTATGCAGGACATGTTCAGGTGCGTTTGGGATCCAGACAGGATAGGTCAGGACAGGACAGTTGTTCAACATTCCGTAAGATAACTGGGCAAGTTAGAAATGATAAAATGACCAATTTGCCCCTGATGAGTTGGTTATATCTTTTATTTATTTAAATTAACTTATGTAATTTATTAAATTAAAATAAAATAAATATTTTCTATAACAAAATATATCATTAGAAAGTTTTGTCAAGATGACACCAAAGTAAAAAGTTTATGTAGTTTCTAATTTTTATTTTATACCTTTTCTATATTATTTTATTATTATTAGTATTTAATGAATTACATAAATTAACCAAAATATAGAAACCCTATAAATTTTTTTAGGATAGTAAAGTAAAAGTTTAAAGAGCATAAAATACAATAAATAAAATTTAAAGAAKGAATAAAATGTAAAGAGGGAGGCGTATTTGATGTTTTAGAAGAGAACTAGGTTTTATTTTGAGGTTATATCGGTAAAACATAGGTGTGTCCACCTTTTTCCATGGGGTGGGGATGGAACATGCTTGTTCCACTTTGTTACACTTTCTTCCACATAAAAGTCCTGTCAACCGCGGAGCAGTGATCCTTGTTCAGTCTCGTCCGGTGTACCAAACACACCCAAAAGGACATGACACATTTGGTGCAACATTACAGGACAAATGGGACAAGATTGATAAATTACTAAACTACCCATATCAAATTAAAACCCTAAAACCATACACAATTCTTTCACCATCCTACCTCACTCCCACCCGTCTAGTACTGTCTCATCTGTGTACCAAACGCACCCTTGTTACAATCGTTCATCATCTATTAAGTGGCTAACTGCTTTTACTCAAGTTCCCGGTAAACCATCAAATTCAAGAGCCCGCCATGCCGGATTCCAGACAGAAGACTATAGCTGATCAATTTCAGGAAGCTTTAGGTGCTGCTGCTACAAATGAAGAAGGGAACATAAATGCGGTTCCTAGACAAACAAGGTGGGTGATCTGAGTTTAAGTCTCTGTTATCTTGAAATACTTTTGTTGGTTATACCCGAAGTGGAATTAAATATTTAACTGTTTATGCTTTTTCTATAATGCCAAAATTGTAGTTTTGGTTTATTTGGAAAGTTGCAGCGCATAATCCAAAGCGAGAAGGAAAGAGATTCATACTTTTTGAACCAGTTACAAAAAGAAGGTACATTGAAGCATCCATATTTTTGCATTGAGATTCTATGGGTGAAACAAAGATAGTAAGGGGTTGTTTGTTTAGTTTTCCATTAGGTCATGTATGGATGAAGTTGTCCGTATGGATTAATCTGTCTATATATATTGGGAATGTTTTTTCATAGATGGAAGAAGCGTGTTTTTTAATTGGGAGGTGCAGGTTTGGAAAAAACCTAGGGGCTATTTGGTTGGTTTTTCACCAAGTCCTGTATCATAAAGTTGTCTGTATGGATTAATCTGACTGTGTATATTGGGAAGGTTTTTGTTTGGGACGGTTTTTTTTCATAGATGTAAGGAGMGTGTTTTTTAATTTGGAGGGGCAGGTTTGGAAAAAACTTAAAGACTTTCTACATAAAGCTTCCCCCTAGAATCATACCGAATAAGCCACTTTCTATATCATTAAGCCATTACCAAACAGTCATGTATAGCTGACCGAATAAGTTGTGAGGCTCGTTAAGCTCATTAAGTTGCTAACAAACAGGCTCTAAGCTACACATATTTTCAGCAGCAAGTACCAATCTGCTGTGTCCATGTTTCATAGCACACTCTTTCACATGGTATGTTATTTTATGCAAGATTTGAGTGACTGCTGACTATTTACTCCATGTTATTGTTTAGGGTTTAGGGTTTAGGGTTATAATACAAACATACAACCTCTCTGTAGAGGCAAGGTTTGTTTGGGATATACTGGATTTGTTTGGTTTAGTTTTGTAAATATACGAAAAGTGACACAATTCGTTTCTTTTTCAATTCAGATGAAGCGAGTTGTCTTGACGTGAAGATACTGTCGAAGTCACTGGAAGGAAAACTGACTGTTTGTTCATGTTCTTCCATTGAAAATGGCAAGGTGCACATTGACCGACTATGATATATGTCATTATCATTGGACACGTGGTGTCCGGACTGGAACCTTATTTGAGCTTATATCCTTAGAGCATCTCCAACAAATTCTCCAAAATGGATATATTGGGATTTTGGGCAAAAACTTTTGCTCCAAAATGGAGAAAGTAGGATTGAGAGTGAAATTCTCCAAATTTGGAGAACTCTCCAAAAAGGATTACAATAAATAGTTTTTATTATATTCCCACCAATAAGAAACCTTGAAATTAAATGTTTAGGAGAGAGAAATAATAATTTATTAAATATATGGAATATTTTATTAATGTAATCAATGTTGTAATCTCCAAAATGGAGAAGCTATTGGAGATGAATGTAATTCTTTTTGGACATTTTGAATTGTGATTCTCCATTTCGGAGAATCTGTTGGAGATGCTCTTACAAGTCATTTGCTATATCACACTCTCGTGGGGAATCTTTACTTATAGTAATTATGTTAGACATTGGGTAGAGGTCAGGTTTGCATACATCTTACCCCAAACCCTACTTTTGAATGGGACATACCGGGTGTATTTAGTTTCATTGGCATTTCAAACGTTGAGAAAGCTTTCATGTGACACTCATGTCAAAGAGGCAATCAGTCTTGCCATGAACAATTAGATGTCCAAATTCTAAATGACAAACTGTATTTGTGTTTGGTACGCTGGATAAGATAGTACAAAAAGTTGTCCCATGTTTGACAGTGACATTAAACCACGAGTCCAGGATAGGATAGGACAGTGGGACGATGATACACTTTTTTTGTCCCACCAAGATAGGTGGAACAAAAATAAAGGAGATAAAGACAAAATTGGTAATTTTTTTATGAAACTATCCATGCCAAATTAAAACCCTAAAACCTTCCGGAATTCTTTCACCCGCCTACCTTACTCTCATCCGTCCAGTCTGATCCGTATCTCTTTCTGTTCTCTTCTTCTCTTTCATACATGTTTTGGATTATTATAATATTTGTGCATGCTTCTGCAGAGTTTAAAGAGGAACTTGATGATCATCTTTAGCTCAAAATTATGTAGCGATGTTGAGCTTGATGTTGGGACCCGGGTTCATGTTTACCCTCCCTGGTACGCCCACTACTCATTCCTTGCTAAAACTGGTACTTTTAGGCGTCTAATTTGGGTTCTCTCCGTATTCGTATTCGGATATTAAGACATGTTTTTTCTCAATCCTTCAAACAGGAAAGAAGTAAATGTAATGGGGAAGGAAGAAAGCATCATTTTATGTACATATTTTTCCCAGGTCTGAGCCATGGTGCATACACAGAGCAAGTAGTCCCATTTTTTAATGTTTACTTGGTGCTAACCACTGCTGATTCGGTTAGCACGGCTGACTCGGTCAGCATCAGCATGTATACCTAGGGACTGACCTCACTCGAGGTGCTGATCGAGCACCTACATGGCCTGCATTACTAATTCACTTACCAGGCCACATTATTATTTTCTGGCCTAGCTCGGGTAATTTTTTATCAGTAAAGACTTGCTACAAAACATTGGTAAACAACCATTTTCAGTCGGTGTTTGCCAAGGCCGAACCTCTTATCCGGTTAGCGTTTGCCCAATGTTGGTAAAACACTTGCCCATTGCCATGGTCGGAGTCCGAATCAAGGTTAGATTTGAGCCCAACGGTGCCCCACTGCTTTATGGTTCAGTTATAGTGGAAAAAGTAGGTGTCCTTGTACCGTTTTGTTGTCTGTCCGCTGTATTTCTTAAAAGTAGTCTTACGACAGAAGTTATGTGAGTTCGAATCCCGTTTTTAACAAATTTCCTACTTTTCAGCTATTGATTTTGGGTTTCTATATAGCTCGTTTGTGGCATGCTATGGCATAATGCGAGATTGTTTTCTTTAACGTGATATCTGAGTTCTGTTATTTTTCTAGTGTCTTGCTTTTTAGTTTTTAGTAGTAACCTAATTTAAATTACTTACTATCATTGACTCATTGAGTAATAGTAGCAAAAGAACATGTGAAGATACGTAATTATACATGTGATTTGTAGATTTGTTGTCATAAATCATGTCTTGACAAACGTCATGGTCTCATAATGACTCCTGAGACTTGAGGCTTGACCTCGCATGCCACGTCACGCTTCACGCCACTTAGAACTTAGATCAAATGTTGACACCATTTGAAAAAAAAGAAATTGGTCCGCCTTTTATTTGAACAAAGGAAAACCCCTATTGGACTTATTTTTACACCCATAGCTCAGGCCCAACCCGACTCTGAAAAAGCCCAAACTTTTTTTATGTCAAAAAAGGTCTTGGTGGGTCCAAGTCGTGTGAGTATCTCCAACAGATTCTCCAAAATAGAGAATCAAACATCAAAATCCACAAAGAATATTAACAGATTCTCTATTTCGGATATTACCATATGAATTATATTATTAAAATAGGAAGAATAAAAAATAATGATTTTGGAGACTTATCCAAATTTGGAGAATTTCACTCTTTCTTCTATTTTCTATATTTTGGAGAAGGTTTTGAGTAGGGGTGTGCAAAACTCGAATGGTCTAAAATCCAAATYCGAACCAAAAATAAGATATTTATGTAAACCCAAATGTCCGAAAATCTGAAAATCGACTTTTAGGAAAATCTTTGGTTTAGGTTGAGTTTGATTTTTGGCCACCCGATCCGTCGGAAAACCCGAAATATATATACATATATATTTTAAATATTATATAAATATATTTATTTATCTAATTATCTTTTAAAAATTCTAAAAATCATAGTCGATCGTTCTTTTTCTAATTTCTAAACATATCATTATTTATTAACCCTCTAAGTCAATTAAATATACTTTTTTTGCATTATTACAAACCCGAACCTGACTAACCTCAACCCAAAAACCAACCGACCTGAACCCGGGGCAATTCGAAATTCGTAACCCAAAGATAAGGGCTTGATTTATAGATCCAAAATTTGATCGGGTTGTTCAATTGTCCACGCAAACTTGTTCGATCCACCATGCATACCCTTATTTTGAAGAATTTATTGGAATCAAAATCCTCATTTTGGAAAACCTGTTGGAGATGCGTAAATGTGATTTTCTTGAGTTTTAGAAAACAAGATACAAGTCACGTTGAATAAGCATAAAAAATGGCAAGGTACAAGTCATATATGCAGCATAAAGAAGACAAGGTACAAGTCGTATATGCAGCATAAAGAAGACAAGGTACAAGTCGTAAATGCAGCAAATTGGATTGCGTGGAAAGAAGTCAAGCCAAAGCATCTCAAATTCTTTTTCGTGTTACGTGTACTCCAATTACCGAATATTGAAACTGCATTTTGCTCCCTCTACTATTTCTGAATTCAACTTTTGGCCCCTTATGTTTTATTCTTATTCACTTCAACCCTTAAACTATGATATGCAAGCCAATAAAGGTATGGAACTTGTTTCTTTTGTGCGAATAGTGTTTGTTTTGAATGTATTTAGTATTTTAGCATTTGTATTAGAGGTGAGCAGCGGAACCGGGTACCCGGCTATAGAACCGGAACCGCCTTGGAATCGCCGGTTCTAGAACCGGAACCGATATAAGTGGTTCCGGTTCCGGTTCCTAAAATACGGAACCGAATGAGAATGGTTCCGGTTCCGGTTCTCAATTTTTCGGAATCGTTACCCGCCGGGTACCCAGTATTTTTCAATAAAAAAATAATTATTATTTTTTAATACCAAATTTATATTAGGTTTACATCTTAAAAGCACGTCGTCATCTTCAATCTTCATCTAAATTCTTCATATAAAATAATTCGTATTTTTTCAAATTGTGTGTTCACTTGGATTCATAGTATGTAATCGTTAAACTTTGAACAATTACCATTATAGTATGTAATCGTTAAATTTTGAACATTTTCTATTAGTCTATTATGGTTTGTAATTGTTAATCAATATTTGTAACCATTATTCTGTATAATTTGTATTCTTGCTTATTTATTTAGTGTTTTGGCAATGTTTTATTTTTTATTTCTAACTAACAAAATTTTAATATTTTAGGAAGCGGGTACCCGGAACCGGAACCGGTTCCCGGCGGTTCCGGTTCCGGTTCCGGTTCCAAAAATTTAAGAACCGCTCTAACCGGTTCCGGTTCCGGTTCCAATATCTCAAGAACCGCCGGTTCCGGTTCCGGTTCCTGTCAAAAAGGGCGAGTACCCGCCTATGCTCACCCCTAATTTGTGTGGTGTAGTATAAATATGAATGGTGTTTTTGTAAATTTCTTTTTGTAATTGCAAGTGATTATTTGACTATTTGATAGGGATGTATAAGGACTTCCAAACCCGTTTTTAAGGAACGAAAAAAGATTCAGACTTTTATAAACATATGTCGTATTTTGGGTTAAAAAAAGGTTCAATCGGGTTTTTAAGGCTGGGCCTTTTGGGATTTTTCAGCCTAAAATTTCGGTCTGAATGACTTTAAGGCTCGTCCAGAACCGGGATTTTGGGCTTTTTTGTGAATCTCTATTGTTTGACATAATGGCATCAACCTGTGAATAATGTGGCATCTGACTTGTTGACCCCATTGGTCCAACGTGATTGATATCAAGCATTTTCCTTGTATGAATTGACTAAACTTTAGGTCAACTCTTTACTGTCATCATATCGGTCCCTAAGCCCCATTGCTGGAAAGGCTCGGCTTCAAAACCGTACATGGAACTTCCACCTCATACGCCTCCTCTAGGGATGGAGCCTCTCGAGTAGGATTAACACTCACTTAGCAATAACACCCCTACTCTTATATAAGTACGCTTCTTGCTTACTAGACGTTGTCGGGCGTCGTTGGCTGACTCAAGTGCCCCCCGAACCGTGCATGGTTCGATCCTTCCCAATAAAACGCGGCATGTTCGAATTCTGATCGCTTTCAATAAACCACTACTAAATAATGATTTCTTAAGCATGCACATATTTATAAAAAGTATAAGTAAATTAAATTAACCCAATATATCTCATCTAAAGTAATGTCAACTGATTCAGTGGTTACCATTATTCCATCTCAAAAGACTTGAACAAAATAAAAATACATAAACGAAGTCTTGGGCCCACCATAATACATTTTTTTCTCTTTCGTTGTCTCTTACATCCATTTCTTCAAATACTTGAGAAACCTCAGATGGTTGATAAAAAAAATCATTTTCAAGTCATTAACTCCAATGGTCCAAATCATCGTCAAGTTTTCTTCAAACAATCGTTGGAGATGTTCTAAGAAGATTCCCAACTTATGCATATATTCATACTCTGTTTCAAACTGAATGCAATCTGTTTTATGTTGTGCTAAAAAGATGCAACGTTTTCATGGCTTCGATTCAAAAATTTGCTTTTCATTCATTATAAAGTACTAGAAGGGTATTCGCACAATACAGCGAAATACATCTCGATTTTAATGTTTCATTTTATTTTATTTTTTTGTCGTAGTCGATGTTATAATATGGTTTTTTGTGGTTCTGAGAAAACGATAATGTTTTTATTTTTGAATAAAATATAATTATGAAGATGTCATAAAAAATTGAAAAAAAGATATATATTGATATTAGTATCAAATTAACTATTTAAAATTTCACCATTTTGTGTATTTCTTTAATTCATTTTTTTTTTGGTTTAATAATCTATACTATATTATAAAGCATTTGGCTAAAACTCTTAAAAACTCTTAAACTCTTAAAACTCTTAAAATCGTTCATCCCTAAACAATTTCATCGCTATCCGATTTCATCCCATAACTGAATTCGTGTAACTAACTGCAGATAAACACAATCAAATACAGGATAAACATCTCATTTTAAATATAAAAAATCTAAAATATAATTAGGATAAT